TTTGCGTTAGACATCACTTCTGTTGTGGGTGATACGTGATGATATTAGACGAACGTTTGAGTTGTGTATAACATGATTAGAATAATGCATGTGTTATCAATTGATGAGATCCAATCCCAACAAGACTATGTTAATATTTCAGTTTTTACTTTATATTTTCCGTCTTTATATTTTCTGCCTTTATTTATGGTTCCTTGAACCGTTTCACCAAAACTTTTGCACCATAAGCTTAGAAATGTAGAGACTGTTGAACGGTAATTCTTTTCCTCACACCAATCCCTATGGAGACGATATAAACCTCGGAGGGAATTCCTCCAAAACTAAAATTTTGCTTCTTGCCGTTTTACTGCAGTTCGAACAATAGTCTCACATATCTTCACTTTGTCTTCAACTTCATATTCAAACCGATCATTATAATTTTAATGATTAGGCATATTTATAAAATTATTACTCTTCAATCTTTTTGTCTTCTTCCTCTCTTGATCAGAATAGTTGTTACTCTTCTTTCCTCCCTTGATCAGAACCTTAACTTAACTCTGATACAAATAAACAAATATAGGTGCACCCAGAAGCACATCCATAAAAGAAGAAAAAGAAGCAAAAATTAAAAAATAAATTAATAAAATCATAATTTAACTTCTAAATGTACAAGGACAAAATTATAAATCTTCTCATATAATTGCAATTTTTAAGAAGAAAATTGCAAACCCTCTAAATTGTAATTTTCGAACGAAAAAATTGCAAACCCTCTCTTAAATGCAATTTTTGGACGGAAAAATTGCAAACCCACTTTCAACTATAGTTTTTGAACGAAAAAATTGCAAACTCTCTCTCAACTACAATTTTTGAATGTAAAAATTGCAAATCTTCTCAACAAACTATTTTTGAACAGAAAAATGGAAAACCCTCCTGTCACACCCTCACTTTCACCTTTATCCTTCATACCTTACATTTGTCATATCATACATTGTTCTTTTGCATTTTTGAGCATGTGGGTTCACAAGGTAAGGATTGGGTCGGTTCATGTGTTATTCATTCCAAATGAGATCATTTGTCTATCTTGGGCTACATGGAAGAAAAGGTTCATCATCTAAAGTGTGATCTAAATTGGAAAGTCTACTCTTGTAGATTTCTTCAAAGAGAAGTTACTTGAAAAATATTGGAATATGCAAGATAAATATTCCTAATGAACATGAAACTCAAGGCCTAAATTCAAGATTGCTTCATCTAATTTTGTTTTAAATTCTTGATCAAGTGGAGTTCAATTTTGCAAAGCATGAGTCAAGATTACAAGTCCATAATTCAAGACTTCATCCATTTCAAGCTTAATGGTTCTAAGGAAATTCATCATGAATTCAAGATTAAAGGCAAGAATATTACTAAGAGAAACTTTATGACATTACAAGAATGTCATTTGTTACAATATATCTAGCTCTAAGTAATGTTTAGAATTTATTTCTAATCTTCATTCAAGTCTCTAGTCAAATTCATGTTATGGCAATGCCACACCAAGTCCACATTATGCTTACAAACATCCAAGAAATATGTAGGGATTAAATCAACATTGGGATGTTTTAAGACCAAGATTATGCATGCTAATTATGAGCAAAACAGTCCCATGCAAGAGGTGACAATTTTCATTTTATCATAAGACCATCACATGTCACAAGACCAAAGGCATAACATGTGACAATGCTACTACAAACCAGAATTTTCAAAGTGCTGTCAAAGATTGGTTAGCATTGACCAAAAGCTGTCAAAACACAAGCCAACAAAGTGGAACAAGGATTGAGGGCATGGTAGAGTAGTGCAGAAAAATGCAGCATGTGACCTTGCATGGAAATGGAAAGAAAGAGAGTGACATGAGAAAAGGTGGTAATAGACAATGCCCCATAAAATCTGCTATGTGGGGAGAAGTGTAAACCTAGGGGCTGAGATAAGAAGAGAAGTTGGTAAGCAAAGGAGATCATTCAGAATTCATTCACAACACTACACATCACACACATTGCAAAAAACCAGAAAAATAGAGAGCTTTGGAAACAAAAAAAAAGAGAGTGAGATAGAACCAAGAGAACCACAAAAGAGTAGAACCTTTACAACATAGAGTGAAGAGGAGTGAAGGACATTCAACCAAGACCAAGGAGGACTTGCAAGAAGAAGAAACTCTTGGGTATCCATTTCCTCAAACTTTTCTCTCCTTATTTCTTTGCTATTATATTCATTTTGCGTACTCTTTTTATGAGTTGTTGAACTGTATATATCATGTAAGGTCCCATAAGGGACCAAGAAACCATTCTTAAGAGCCGTAAAAACGAAACGAAAACACAAAAAAATTAGGGTTTTGGTTCTGGAAGCACAACACGGGCCGTGTCACACGACACGGCCGCCCGTGTCACACTTCTGGATGGCCTTTTCAATGAAAAATACCCAGGTCTCACAACACGGGCCGTGTTACACGACACGGCCACCCGTGTTACACCTCTGTTTGAGGTTTTCCATGTGAAAAATCCCCAGGCTTCACAACACGGGCCGTGTCACACGACACGGCCACCCGTGTTGCACCTCTGTTTGCCCTAGAAAACCGTTTTTATCCCAGGCCTTGTGACACGGGCCGTGTCACACAACACGGCCACCCGTGTCACGCCACTGTTTTACCGTTTGTTTCGTTATTTTTACCTCCAAAAAAATTTTTTTCTCAAAGAGTTCGCACGCGAACCGTTTTTATTGGCATGTCTCGATTTTTTTATGCAACTAACTTCATTTGTTTGTATGTTTTTAATGTGAATGTTGTTATGGTCCTTGTTGACCTTTGATTCTTAAAACCTTTTTAAAAGCAAACTCTCGATTTTATCGAGCCATTTTCAACCTTGTAAGCCGATTGCCTTGTGCATCGCCATCAACCTTGTCCGTATCACCTCAAATACATTTTACAAACAATAAACCTTGATCCAACATCAAGTGACCCTTTTCTCATAAAAAAATCCAAAACACAATAAGTATACGATTAGGACTATACACCATGGATTTTAAAGTGGTGGAGAAGGAATGAGAATGGAACTCTCCTACACTCGTTCCGAATGTTTTGAATATAAGGCGCTCGACTTGGTTATTCGAGACATTCACTTCTATCCAAAGTCTTTTGTGTATAACCTTAATCAAGAACCATTTTTATTCAAAAAAACATAAAAATAACATCAACTCATCAAACTTATTTTCGCTTTAGGGCATCAATCCAAAACCCTTTTTCAAGGTATAAAATCAACCAACAAACAACAATTCCATAAGCCTCCGAACTACGGAGCTCTGATTCTTCACTTCTTTTAAGTGATGATACGTAGGCACAAGGGGCACAATCCTTGGCGAGCACTATAATAAAACCTCAACCCCTCTTTTTCCTAAAACAAGCAAACGAATAGATAAACACCCACTCAAGCAAAACAACCTAGGAGGTTCCCATCGAGTACGATGGATGCGAGGGGGTGCTAATACCTTCCCCTCGCATAACCGACTCCCGAACCCTAAGACTTGGTTGCGATGACCATGCTCCCTTTTCCAAAGGTTTTATCGCTATTTCCTTTTCCCTCCGTGGGATAAATAAAATCCGGTGGCGACTCTGTGTCATTTTTCGCGTAGCGACACCTCCCAACAAATTATTTTTGGACAGAAAAATAGAAAATTCAATCTAAACTCACAAATATCCAAATCTTCAATACACCCAAAAGTATATATTTTGTTGTTGTGTAGAAAACTCAAACTAATCATCTCTATTTATATTAGTACTTCAATTCTATTTTTTTTTCTACTATCCGATTTGTAACTTTGATGAATATACTATTTGAACCAACAGAAGGATGAACACATTTTTTTTCACAAAAATTGAATAGATTTTAATAACTTCCAAGTAAAATATAAGGATATGCATGACGACAGGGCGGGTCAAAGACGATTTTTACCTACTTCAAAATCAAACTTGAATTTTAAAACAATTCATGTTTTCCGCTCAAACCCCATCGGAGATTGAGAACTAGAACTCAAACCCCTCTTAAACGAATTCAGATTGGGTTCGTGTATCCCCATCATGCTACCATCTATTTAATAAAATCATTTTTTTAATAAAAATATTTATTTTTCCAAAATAAAATTACATTACAAATAATAAAATAAAAATATCTCATAAAATTTAATATATACATTTTAAATATTTTAAATAATAAATATAAATTAAAATATTAAAATATTAACGACATATTAAATATTTTAAACTATCAAAACTAAAATAATAAAACACATAATAAAATAAACAGGACGGATTCGGGGTGGGTATTAGTTTCTCTATTATTCTACTCGTTTTCATATTTTATAATCAGAAAAAATCCGAATCCAAATTCAAATCCAATCAGAACAGATTTTTTCCGTCAAATTCAAAGCAGATTCGAGTGAGTACTAGTAGATATGTGTTATGTTATCATGTCTATATAAGCGATTGGATCCTGAGTTGAAAGATTCAAGGATGATCTGGTTGTTAATGCAGTTCCTCACAATGTTGCATCAAGAAGTAAGCTGAGAATGGTGATGGTTAGAATACTTCCTTTATACCTGATTGTTTGCTTCCAATTTGTACAAATATTATATATTAATTGATTATTTAAGATTTGATCCTTTTGTTGTAATTTCTCAAACAGCGCAACATATCTATATAAAAGTTATTCCCCCCTGTTTATGTTTAAGTCTTTGAAGTATGTGAATACATATGTGTATGGTTTAAGTTTTATATTGAATGACTTGTCTTACTTATATTTATATTGAATATTGTACAATAATTTTTTTTAAATAAGGAGTAAATTAGTACACAATCAATTATGATAAATACATATATTAATCATATAAAATACATTGTCTTCCTTTTTGAAGTGAAAATTATATTTTACTACACTTATAGCTTTCTCTCATTACTTAAATTTGGGTATGAGATTCTTCTAGTAATCTTCGTACAAAGAAGCCTAGGCATGTGCAAACTGAATCCACTGAGACATGCTTGGAATTCCTCCATTCACAACCGTGAGCAAGTAATAACCAGAAGGTGCAACAACAGAAGATGGTGGAGCTTCCAACACTGCTTCCACCCTCCCCTCTTTACTTCTCACCATTCTCATGCACCTCAGATTCAACATCCTTTGATTCATTGCAAACGCATGAGTAGTAAACGGCGGCGAATAAACACTGAACCTCACCTCATCACTTGGCCTTCTCCCCAACAAAAAACTCACATTGAACTCTTTACCATACCCAACTGCATGGTTTTCTATGGTCAGGTTACTTGGCCTCCAAGTATGGTACCTTTTTTCCATGTAATGTGGAACAAATGCTTGAAGTCTAAGTTCTGTTGGGTATGCTACATTTTGAAAAGTGTATCTCCCATGCGGGTTACCACCAGCAACTAAGACTCTTCCATCAGGTAAAAGAGTTGCTGATGAATGATACATTCTTGGTATCATTGTTTTCTTAAGGACAGTGAACCTTTTTCCTAGCTTTTTCTTCGGAGTATAAAGATAAGGCTCAAGCGACGCGTTTCTAGCATTGTCATATCCTGCACAACCATGTTTAGCACCGTTTATAATCAAGATATTACCTGTTGGTAGAATCAACATGTCGTGTAAGAGACGCGGTTTCGGCATGTACTCCATTTCCCATGTGTGCTTGTTTCCTGTGATCACCATTCTCCCACATGATCTTAAACCTGAAATGAACCTTTTGTTTTTAGCTGCATTGAGTGCTCCTGTGGATGAACCTCCACATACCATAACTTCAGCTTTCTGGAACCTGTCTTTATGGTCTAATGGGAGTAACACGGATGATCCTGAACTCGGGTAGTTTCTCGACCCGTTTCCTGGAATCCGAGGGAATGTTTTGATTACTCTATTGTGTCTCAAGTTGAGTAAAATGGAGTCGCGGTTGGCGAAGACGAACAAGTTTCCATCGGATGAAAGGTGAGTGAAGGGATATAAATTGTTTCCGGCTGAGTTTCTGTCATTGGTTTGATGCAGAAACGGAAGTTCGAAAGATTTTTCATTAGGACTACTTTTCGGGACAAATTCGTAAGTAAAAACTCTTCTTCCACCAACAAGAACAGCTCTATCATGTTCCGGTAGAATCTGACTAGAAGCATACCACCTTTCATCCGATAGAGATTTCCTCGATTGTATCCAATCACAGTGTTGATTATTCCCACAAGGCCTATAGAATCGAACCCTCTTAGCACCTTGACGATAGCCTCCGGTTTGTAGAAGTGTTCCATTGCTTAGGAAAGAACCTGAGGAACACCAAGGGTCAGTGTCAAGCCTCAAAGGTCTTATTCTATTGGCATTGATATCATACTCAACAGAATGAGCATAGCATGTTGAATCGGTTAAGTCGTTGTTGTTGTTTGTTCTACACGATGTTCCGTTGAATCGTTTTCGAAGTTTGTATCTAGATTGGCCTCCTCCAGTTTGATCAAACATTATGACAGTGTTTTTGTAGGTTAATGCCGTATGCATACCAACAACGCCGGTGTTGTTGAGAAGCAGTTGCCACTGTCCTTTTCTACCTTGAGAGGGTGTATTATGATTGGCACCATTGCATAATCCAACACAAGACAAGAAGAATAAGATGATAATGAACATGATTTTAGTGCAAGACATAAACATGTTTTACTACTTGGACGGTTGTGTTGTGAAATTCCACTTAGGAGGGTCCTTTTGTAGGACAATGTTTTGGTTGGAACCGAGATAGTAGTGGTCATGCATTGAAAGGGTACTATTAAAATATTCCTATGAATCTTTTCGTGAGTAGAGTTTCTCGGATCATATAATAGTGGTTTTATTATGTTATGTTAGACCCAATTGAGTGAGACTCAAGCAATGAGGAAACTACCACGAGGTGAGCCTGTCGCTCCTAAGTATTTTGATAATGCCAAAATTACTTCTCTCATAATTTATTTCTCTTGATTTTAGGGATTTTAGATTTACTTTCAAAAAATTAATAAAAAACAAAAAATTTGGTAGTATAAAATAGATATCTGTTCATATTGTTACAAGTTAAAAATTCAGTAAGTTTTTGTCAAATATTTAAAAAAATCTAATGTATATTTTGACCTTACCAAAAATTACTTTAACGCTAAAGTCAGTTCAAAATTCAATATGATTATAATGAAAGTGGAGATTAAAGATTGTACTCTGCTCATAGAATATGAAATGTTTTTCTATTTAAGGTTAAGTATAATGGTTTGATATATTAGGTCTTGGTCAATTGGGCCTTTGGCCAGTCCAGAACTCTTGCCTCCAAGGGTTTGCTAGGAATTGAAGAAGCTGAGGTAAGTCTTAAATAATGCAGTTCGGCCTCTAAGACGGGGTCTGTTGTGATGTGGAACTTGAAACGCTTTAAAATCAGTTGAAAAATAATGGGGGACAGAGACATTAAATGATTTTCTTGTCCTAAGAATGTTTTGATATCTGCTCTCAGCATGTCAGCCCAATGACGCAGACTATGAAATGATTTATATATCTAGAACACTTTAGTACTTCAGTCCATTCTATTTTTGCATAGCAATATGAAATGGGGTTTAGCTAAATAAAAAATTTCTTATTAAAAATTCTACTTTAAAAAATATTTTCTATGGAAAGCGGAAGCGAATCCGAATTGACTCTCTTCTATCCGAACTGTTATTAGTAGAATCAAATATGTTTATAAACCGTAGTAAAACATAAGCTAAAGATGAGAAAAGGAAACCGATAAGTTCTATATAATGTGTTTGAATATAAACCACACAAGGATAAACGATTTTCAATGAAATGTAAAAACAAACTTAACTAAGGAATATTATCGAACACTTAGTGTGCAGTCAAATTATCAAGCACTTGGTGTGCAATACACCAAGTTTAATTCTCTTTGTGTTGAAGATGTAACAAATCAATTGTAATGGTTTCACAAAATAGTTGAAGACACTTCAACACAACCATAATTTTTGGTAATTCAAATTGCTTACTAAGTATTATCAAAATGAAGAGAGAGAGAGAGAGAGAGAGAGAGAGAGAGAGAGAGAGAGAGAGAGAGAGAGAGAGAGAGAGAGAGAGAGAGAGAGAGAGAGAGAGAGAGAGAACACCAAGATTTGTTTAGGTAGTTCCCCAATTGTCCTCACTATGGGTACATCTTCCCTCAATTCGAAATCGAATTGAGATATTGTAATTAACCTTTGCAATATCAGTTTACAAGAGAATTAGTAGAAATTCAAACCCCTAAACCCTATGTTTGATGTTGATCCTAACTTCTTTTCTTCCCTTGATCTTAACTAGGTCAAGCCACACAAGACCTCCAATTTGATCCTACAGTTATCACTACTCCTTTGGCCAAACCTCCATTCTTCAAAACTTTCACTCGTCTGAATTCAAATTGTGAAATATTGCCTAAATATTTCGATTGATCCTCCAATTATCGCTACACCTTTGCAAGAACCCTCATTCTTCAAAGCTTTCACTTGGATGAATCCAAGTTGCAAAGACTTGTGCAACCCCCCCCCCCCCCCCCCAAATTAACATTTGATATTGGAGGAAAACTCTATAAGTTTTATCAATCAAACCCAAAAAAAAACTCAATCCAATTTGATTACACCATCTTAAATTTGACCTTATCAATCTTATCTTGATGACAAAGAACAAAAATGATTATGTGTAGTTGTTAAATGCATGCAAAGAAAGGTTGAAGATGATGATAAATTTCTAAGTGTATTATTGGTTTCTATGTTAAGAAATGATGCATGAATGCATATTTATATGTATGTGTGTGTAGAAAGAAAATAAGCAAAACAAATTTTTAGCCAAAAATACAAGTTTTGAAAGTTGGTACAGAATGTATTGACTCCAATCATGAATGAGTCAATAAATAAGCCAAAGGAGTCAATACATTTTCCAATGGAGTCGATACATCAAAGGCAGAGAGCAATTGTTTGAAAAGTTCTTCAGAAAGAGTCGACTCCAAACACGAAGGAGTTGACTCATCCATCTGATGTATCGTCTCATACCATCAATGTGTCGATACACTGAGGGAAGGGGTGACCAGGTTGAAAACCCCTTTAGATGGAGTTGACTTCAACCATGAAGGAGTCGATTCATTCACAAGATATATCAACTCATTTTTCCTATGTGTCGATACATTCTACACATAACCATTTCCTTTGAAAACCAACTTAATAGGTATCGATACATACTATGAATGTATCGAACCTTTGACTACTTATTCATGAAAATGCCTATTTTTAGCATGTGATGGACTATTGAATCTAATATTACATTTCCTATTATGATGATGCACATATAGACAAAGACGGTAAGGTCCAATATACACAAAGTACTAAGCTACATAGTTTTGACATCATTTAAAATATATTTAAGAGTATTTTGTACTCATAGAAGCGGCATGGTGACTTCCCTTGGATTGACATTTTATCTTTAATCTGTACCGTTAATAACTGATTTTCTCTGCAAAATTGGGTTTTGTCTTTCTGGATCATTAAATCTCGTCTTCTTAATTTCAAATTCAAGTTTCCATCGCGATTTCCCTTTCTTTTCATCCAGGTATGTTGTCACATTTTTCTTTAAGTGGGTGAAGCTTCTTTTTCTTTTTGTCATTTTAGAGGTTTAATATTCTATTGCTAACCCATCGTCATTAACTCATCAGATCTATTCGCATGCCGAGGTAAAATACAATCGATATGGTAATGAAAAATGTCGGAGATTATTCATGAGTAGACCCACGGTATTTTGGGATCCCCTTAAAGCGTACTTAGAGGGACTAGAGGATTAAGGTTACCTTTAAAGTGAGGTCCTATTCAGATTGGAAAATCTTGGAGATCCCTCTAAATAAGCAAGTGTTCCATAAATTTGAAGGGTGTTTTATCCCCTTTTATTGTTGCATTTTTAAGAAATTGGGAGTACGACTCCTACTGACTGATTTTGAAAAGGGGGTGATGGGTCTTCTTTGCATTCCTCCACCGCAACTTCATCTATATGTTTAGGGCTTTGTGAGGGTCTTCCAATACTGGTACAAGTATCAGGGGAGCATGGACTCAACTTCCTTAAATCTCTTTTTCCATCTCTTTAAAGTTAATCCTCCTTCCAAGAGTTGAGATTGTGGGCTTGTTTCTCTTTGTTGCTTGAGAAACGTGATTTTTTATGTTTACATTGACTGTTGGAAGAGTTTTAAGGATTATTACTTCCTGGTTTCACTTCTTTCTTCTCTTGCTCATAATGATTTTTGCACCATGTTCCCCTTCTTCGGCCCTAGTAATCTGTTCTGAATGGAGAAGGAGATTTTGGTCCTCTGATCACTTCTCTCAGGAAGCTAAAGATTATTAGGTTCTGTATGAATTTCTTACCAATGCAGAAAAGGCTATAAAGGAAAAATTGATTTCCTTTCCTGACTTGGAAATACATTGCCACGACATCGTTGAGGTAAAGTTTGTGGATGAGTGGAGTAAACTTTTTGCTATAGCTTCTTCCCCCCACCTCCCACCTCCTTTTTTTTACTTGAGATATGCACATTCGCATATTATGTTACTAGTGAAGTACATTCTATTTGTAGACGACCTCAAAAATAAAGACCCATCGATTAGTTGTGTCACTCTTGTGCTGCTAAATTTCGGGGCTCCTTTAGCTGCATTCGCATCTTCAGAGAGTCGGAGTAAGAAGAACTATGATTGTCCTGGTAATAAGGATTGGGGTGAAGCAGACATCCAAGGAAGTCCTACAAAGAATTAAAAAAAACAGTTTGGTCCTGCTCCAGGTAACCATTTAGGGGATCCTCTAATTCTCTTACCCTCAGTGATGGTTAGTCATTTGTGTAACATCCCACTTTCCCAAATTAAAATAAAATATGATTAAATCAAATAATATCAGAGTTTCCCTTCAATAGTGGGATATCACATCATAAGTTCAACAAAACACTTCATTATATGATTTTCAAAATAAAGCAGCGGAAAAATTATTATTATCCATCATTCACGGCCATCCGCCAAAATACACCAAAGTATTCATTAACAAGGTTCACCACAAAGATACGTCACAAGAATGAAACAATATTAACATAAAACAATTAAACTCCCAAGTCTTGTGCTACGTATCAGAGCATCCTAAGACTCGACTCGCACATCATTATCCAAGCTAGCTATGTACCTGGATTATCTGTACTTCTGAAGAAGCACAAACCACAACAACAACAAAGGGGTGAGAAAACATGATCAAAATTATCGGTAATAAGATACATGAATAAAAGGCAGTAAATATACAAATCATCACCCCACCAACATCAAACACGGCCTACTGTCCAATATCAACACAACATATAATAATGCAAGAATGCAACTCAACACCATGCATGGGTACCGACTCATTGGTTCATTCAATCGAACCCCGGATAGATCATTTACGCTCCTCCTGAGACATGATCTATCCCCACCATTCTCCACAAGAGAGTACGGGTGAATCACTTACGCTCCTCCTGAGACATGATTCAACCCCACCATTCTCCACAAGGGAGTGTGGGTGAATCACTTACGCTCCTCCTGAGACATGATTCAACCCCACTATTCTCCACAAGGGAGTACGGATGAATCACTTACGCTCCTTCTGAGACATGATTCATCCCACCAAAACACCATGATATGCACGACATCAAATGCACAACACACAAACTCAAGCACACTAAGTGCACACGATCCTACTGATCACATTACCATACATAACCAATAAACCCAAACGCACTACGTGCACACGATCCTCCTTATCACATCACCATACATCATATATACATATATATACACACCAATCAATTGTGTCAATTAAAATGAATAATAGGGAAATCACATTCGAACACCAAATATACGCTCTTCACCAATCACATCATTCCTATACTCAACATGACCCAAAAGGGATCCTACAAAACATCAACGTTAGATGGAACCACAAAAATAAAACAAGTTACTGTCATGCTCTTTAGCACACTCGCCTAGCGAGGCCTCAGCGAATGCTCACTGCCTCACTCGCCTAGCGAACTCGCTAGCGAAGGCAGACAGTGGCTACTGGAAGTGTTCGCTACCCAACCCGCCTAGCGAATGCTCGCTACTAGCTCGCCTAGCGAAAGTGCTGGCGAACGTCTGCGATTTTACAAAAACCTCACTGTTCAAAAATTTATCAGAAGCTCAAAACCCATCTGATTCTCACCAAACCAGTTCCCTTAGCATTATCCCAACATTCTCCTACTGAACTACGTAATTTATTCTAGGTTCTACCCGATAAAACATCAACTCTACCGATTAAATCATTTCCGACCTAAAATGGTAAACTACCCAGAACACCCAACAATCCCTACATAATCACATGCAAGGTTGGAATAACAGAGTTTCACCAATTCATAACAACATAAGCACAATTTATCCATGGCAGCAACAATCAGAAACACAACAACATACCAATCATGTTCATCAAATCCCTATGGGGTTAAGGAATCCCCTCTACCAAATATTCATGCAAGCTACCAATCTCAATCAGTTTCTCCCCCTTTACCTCGATTAATCGCTTCGATTGTTGAAGAATTCCTACGAATCTGATTGCTCTTCCTTGTTTCTCTTCCTTCCTTGTTCTTCCTCCTCACTCTTTCTCCCCACTCTTCTTTACCGTGTTCTATCTCTCTTCTTTTCCCAAAATCCTCCTTATATCACTAATTCCTCATTTCTTTTATTCCAATAATAATAATACCAATAATAATAATAATAATAATAATAATAATAATAATTATTATTATTATTATTATTATTATTATTATTATCAAATTATTATCATTATTAATTATATTAGTATTAAACTCCATAGTTATTAAATAATCTCCACAAAAGACACACCGAAAATAGAATAACACCAGAAAGACTAAATAATTAAAATGGGTGTTACAGTTTGTCTCGAACTGCAATGGAGATGAAGAAGTGTGTGTGTCAGTCAACGACTACGAGCAGATTCGTCAGCTCTCCCTTGTTGGAAAATTAAATTTGTTGGTAGAATTAACTTATCAAGTCCTCTGGGTCGTTCCCCTTCTAAATTAGCTCGCAGTCGGTCATATGAACCTTTTGTTTCCCCGTTCTTCTTATGAAGAGGTCGAGGATTTGAAGGCTTGTTATGACTTTGCCAAAGCAAAGGTGGTTAACTTCGAGAAGGAATGTTTTGTGTTGTGTACCCTAGCTCCTAACGACTGGAGTGTTGTATACGGATACACCTGATGGTATTTAAGGGTGTCACATCCTGATATGACACCTGGTGATCCACCTAGGCTAGCTCATCAAAAGATACTAGAGGAGGAGTAGGATATAGCAGATCATGTTGTTGATGTGTTGCTTAGATGTCGACGTATCTTGGAGCTTGGGTAAACGGTTATAGACAGATGAGTGTTTTCAGAAGACTCTGAGGCAAGGAACATTCTACATGCCATCATGGAGGAGGCACAACTAGCACAACAGTACAGGAGGCCATGTAGGAACAAGGGGGCCTGAGTCCAACATGCGCAGTAGCATATAGTATTTGTATTTTGAACACTATTATCGTTTGTAATTTATTTTGACTTCATTATGCATTTCAAATTTATTCATTTTTATACGGTATTTTTATAGTATTTAATAAGTGTACGATTTAATTTATATAAATTTTAATATTATAGTACAGTTATAATACATCGTCAATTACATGTTTGATCTAAATTTAATATGATAATATAAATATAATATATCTTCAATTTCATCAATGTATATGTAAATCAAAGTCAAATCTTACTATATAGTGTGTATATGAAAATGCATAGTCCAAATCAATTTATGTCAAATTGAGTGTCTCAAAATCCATATGATGCATATAGAGTGAATTTGAATATGCATCTCCAAAATTAGACTCACTTATTTCTAAAATCTGAGGCACATTTTTTAATTTCCGTAGGTTATTTTTCCACCATACTTAGGGTGGAATAAGCAGTACCCTTATCTTTTTTCATAATACTATCAGAATTCCTTCTAGTGCATGCTATTGAATAACTCGTTGTAATTAGTGTGAACAGTATGAACCTAAACAATTTTACTCAAGAAACTCATACACTGGATCCTATGTACCTAACTGATTCCTAACTGAATCTTAGCTGGCATAACCGCTCTAACTGTCATAAGCCAAGGTACGGAATCTGAGTTGACTCATGCTTGGTGGTGTTATCTTCCACCGTCTTTGGCTCCTTCAATAATATTCAAATCCAAACCACTCGAGATTGTATCAAATTGAAGTTAATAACAAAACTGGTTACCAAATAAAATAAGGAAAACCAATAGATTAATGAGGATGATTTTCCTCTTTAAAACAACCCTAATATTTATAAAACATTAAGCATGGAAAATTATATTGATAAATTTCCAAAAAAAAATAAATATATCAATGAAGAACCGACACTAAAATAAAATGCGATCAAAGCATGGACTTGAGTATGTAATGCCAAAACTATTTACACCCCCTAGTCACGAAGAAACTTGCTGGATTTCAAACTTCACCAAAAACCCTGCACAAGTTTTCAGAGATATAATCTAATAAAGCTTTATTCTAGTATCAATGTTACTCCTGCAAATGGGGCATAGCTCAAGATCTTGACCGCACTCGCAGCATGTCTGCAAATTAATTTTAAAAACTCGTGTTACTATTCGGCAACCAATCATTTAAAATGTATGAGAAAAAGAAAAGTGGTCAGCTTCCTAACCTGATGCCCGCAACCAAAGGCCATATCCTTTGGATTGGAAAGGCAAATGGGACAAAACTGCAGGGATGACAAAACAAAATAGTTTATAGGTTTTGAATTTGTATTAAACTGTTTATGTTTAACTAAGCTTATCATTGCCACTTTGATCCATAAATAGACTTCTACATGAGGATCGATAATGAAAATAGACAAGTTAATAGACAAGTAAAAATGCTACTGCAGTGACAGTACAGTGTAGAAGGAAAAAGGCAACAGTAGGAGAAAGCAAAGAGACAAAGTACCTGATTATCAGAAGCAGAACTTGCATGGGGGTTTGTGACAACACTTGGTTTGTTGTGAGATGGTGCGCTGGGGCGAAAATTGTTTTGATTGGAAGATTTTGGGGTGTTGAAAGATGATGTTCCATATTGAGGTGGTGGTAGAGGAATCCTGTGTATGTCGTTCCTTCTACGATTGCTGTTTGAGAAAACAATACACCTCACTCAACTTAAACGGGGACTTCATATGCAGATGTTATATTGAAGTCCAATACAGCAAAAGCTTACAAAGAAAAGATTCAACATTGTTACCTCAATATATTAAGTTCTAGTGTTGCCTTGTACTGTGAAGGTATTTCCATTAATGCAGAAAGTGCAAAGTCGGCTTCCTTTCTAGACCGATCCATATTCTTTGACATTATTTCGGTGAAATTCACAAACTACACAATACAAAGCAAATAAGAAAATAAATATAAAGTTTAGCGTTGTTGAAAGTGTAAACAAAAAATGCTGTGTAGAAACAACAAAGAAGACTTCTTCTCTGAATAGGATGCATGCCTGGAAATTATCAAATGCTCGAGCAGGTATGTTATCGTCAAATTCTTTCATCATGTCCCATGGCCCATCTCCAACTCCAACTAGTATGATTGACAGAGGATATTCACTGCAAGTAAACACGTAATTATTTGTTAACAGTTGTATACACATTATTATAACCAAGAAAAAGAATAACAGACCACAAGCAGATTAGTTACCTAGCTTTCACAATTGCTTCTACAGTTTTTCTTTCTTGTGTGCTCAATTGTCCTCGCTCTGTGTCAACACTTCTTGTCACCTGCGAAAAGTTGACAATCTTCAACATCAATCATTTATCATACTCAATCTCTAATTGCTAATTGATTGCCAATGGCAAGCATAACCACACCGTGACAGAATGATGTTCAGCTAATGCTATCTCTATGTTTTGTGCTAGTTCCATATGAAAACTATAGCTAATTCTTACTTCGATTCCAATGTCATTTAGCAGCCATGTTTCACCGTTAAACTTAGATCTTCTGAATTCATATAAAATAGAGACTATAAAAGAAATCTACCCCCTTAAGAAAACTATTTCATATTAGAGTTATGTGATAAAGCATTCAATTGGCCCATAATCTCACCTCGTATTGCAGTATATATTTCTTTTTAGGCTGCTAGTACTATCAGGAGCAGAGCGTAGTGTATGTTGAGGGGAAACAACAAACTCATGTGTAGGGGGTGCTTCTTAGAGGGTGAAAATCGCTCGGATCGCCCAACAAGTTATTATATTATCTCTTTATCCCTTTTAACAAAATAAAAAATAAATAAAAAATCTACTTTTACCAACAAATGTTACATTCATTTGATTATATGTGACAACCAAGTGTCAAGGTATTGAGTATTGAAGGAAGGTCTTAATTTCAGCATCAATCCCAACTTTCTACCCCTAGAAAGAAAAGAATATCATCGATAAAAAGAATTCATGTGCAAGCTACTTATACCAATTCTCAATTATATGATTTTGATATGCATTAGATTAAATAACAAGCAAATCTATTATCACTTTCAACTCTGATAATTCTCTACCTGCCCATCTGCTATAATCAATAAAACATGGTATTGGCCTTCACTTTGCTCAACTATGGTGATTGCCATCTCAATGACGGGGGCGAATGATGTGGGTCCTGCCGTGAATTGGGGGTGATAAATAGCATAAGCAGAAACTTAATGAAATACATATAAAGAATGAGATGACGTTTGACCAATGTCGAAATACCTGCAAGCCTTAATTGAGGGACCAATTCTCTATAACGTGACAAAACTTCTTCAAACCCATGACAAAATCTATCCTCGGCATTGAAACTAAAAACTTCTTGGTCATGTGTTGAAGCTGTCAATGTAAACCAACACACAATATAACTCATACAGACAATAGATTATATCCTAAAGAATTAACGTAATTCACAAAAATTATCTAACTTACCATCTCCGAATCCAAAACAGGGAATCAAGTTATCCTCATCAAAGGAGGACAGTGTTTTCCCAATGATAGATATAGCTTGTTCATACGGATTTTGTTCATGCCCGATGTGATGAAGGCATTTCCTTTGAAATGACCTTGCACCTAATAATACAAAGGTGAGACACGCAGATTGACACAATGAAAAGAAGGAGAAAATGAAGACTGGTCAAACGAAGCTAAACCTGTCCACTCATTGCTTTTTGTAAAATCGATACCAACAATGAGATTGGAAGACTCTAAACCAGCACTTGCCAGAGCCTCAGTTACCTTCCAAAAATGGAAAACAAAAACACTTCAGAATGTCACAAAAATAAATAAATAATAACCATCAGTGTATTGCCGTATTGATCTGACATTTACATTCTCCAAATACAGAAATGCCTCGAAACTAATCATTGCTCAACAGGTCAAAATGATGATGCATGTGTAAAGAGAAATGTATAAAACATGCAACAAATATTCATACAAAAGGAAATTATTTCTTTTAGCGAGAGTTGACCCATGTAGCCGACTCCACCTAGTGGGATAAGGCTTTTGTTGTTATTGTTGTTGCGGTAGTGTATTCAACTCATCTCCATCTTTAAAAATTATAATGATAATGTCAAGATAACAATTAAAAGAATTAGATACAAGATCAATGAGGACAAAAAATTTCACAGCTTCAAAATTCATGCAGTATTCTTCAAAAAGATTGTGTTAAGAATTGTGGTTGGACCTAACTCAACCCTATAAATTAGGCTTGTAGGGTGAGTAATTCACCGGCTTATAAGCACATGTTGGGAGCGTAGAAATAAATGGTGGATGGTCTGATAGTGGAAACCTGAGGGATCTTAAACGAGACTCTTGATACCATGATAAGAATTATTGTTGAGCTTAATTCAACCTTACAAAACAGGTTTGTAGGGTGAGGATTGCTCCCACTTATAAGCATATGTTCCGGTCATATATTGTCTAATGCGGGAGTCTTAACATATTAGAACAAAATAGCAAGTATGTATAGTTAAACATGAAGCACCAAACAGGTCCAAATCAAATGATTCAAAACACTATTGTTTGTCAAACTTTAGAGCCTAAAGTCAAAAAATGGGACCTGGAAAATTACCTGTTCCAAACTACTATAATTATCACCTATCGTTGTAAACTTTTTGCCCGAACTCTTACTTTGTTGGTGAGCAACACTACCACCATAGCTTTGAGGAGGAGGCGGAGTCTCATAATTATACCCCATTACCCCATGATCTTGTGTTTGTGGCAAATAAGGAGATTGATATTGAGGAAACATAGGATTTGACCTCGAAGAAGATGAAGAACGCTGCCTAGAGCTTCTAGAGCCCCTTCGTTTTGAATGCGATCCACCCATGAATTCTTTATCCTACAGAAATTCAACACAACAGCACAATTCAAACATTCAAATCAAATCTCCAATAACAAACTTAACTTCACTATGCTAAATTCACATTCTTAATCATTTTTACAGTAATTAATTCACTTTTTTTGCATGAATTTCATTTACAATTCAAGTAAAACACCTCCAGATATTGGTTTCAATTCAGGAAATTGAACATAGAGTAATGTATATAGGAAAGAAACAATTAAAGAAAAAGAAGGAAAGTTTTGAATCTTGAAGAAATGAAACACCTTGAAGAGGTTGAGAGAGAGTGAATGAGTGGAAATGGATGAGCGTGTGGGTGTCAGTATCAGTGGAATTGGGATGATGAACGGTGAAGGTAGCTTCCAGGAACTTTCTCTCTCTTTCTCTCTGTAATTGTGGTTTCACCCACTTTTCTTTTTGTGCATAAACTAGTAGTAGTAAACAAGGTTTAGTGCTAATCATAATACTCATTAAGACTTTCTTAATTGGGTTTTGAAAATAGTCCACCATCGTTTAATTTAATTAATTACGCAACTTAATGGTGAAAGCTCTCTTACCTTATCAATGATTAATGATTAATGTTTTTAATGATTTTTGGGTTTTAGTTTTTAGTTTTAAATATATGATTAACAATATAATACTACTACATTCCCGTATTGTTATAGTAACTTATAAGAATAATATAATACATATCTCATGTTATCGAAAAGTTAGACAAAAATAATTTTTTATACTTTTGTGTTCTAAAAGAGTAATTGCTTTATCTTTTTGTAATATTTAAATAAGAATACATGATCTTTCACATGAGGGTTATTGTAGCAGTAGAAGTGAAGAGATTATTAGGTTTGTTGATTATATTATTAATTATAATTGATAAATAGTGAGGGTTATTGTAGCAGTAGAAGTGAAGAGATTATTAGGTTTGTTGATTATATTATTAATTATAATTGATAAATAGTGAGGGTTATTGTAGCAGTAGAAGTGAAGAGATTATTAGGTTTGTTGATTATATTATTAAATTATAATTGATAAATAGTATAACAAATAGTTTGATATAGGATATATATTTAAAAGAGAAATAACTATATTATAATTATTTAAATTTCTCTTTAAATAGTATAAAAGAAATTGGTTGTACAAAATAAAAATTTGAACTCGTTAGGTTTTGAAAGAGAAATAACTTATAATATATTTAAATTACTAAATATTATATGAACTATAGGTTTTTTTAATTGAGTCTAGTTACTAGAATTTGCTTTTTAAAAATAAAATAAAATAAGTAAAATATTGCAGGTTTGAGTTCACATTCATGTTAAAAAAAATAAATAAACATATTCTTGTCAACTCTATTGAATAAAGCATTTAAGGCTTTGGAATTTTCAAGAGCAGCTTCATTTTCATCATTGGTTCAATCCTCTTCTTACTTCAAAGTCTCGTTTCCATCTTCATCTTTGACCATAGGATACTCCTAACCCTTGATGATAGTCTTCCAAGTTTTGATGTCTATAAATTTTAAGAAAGCCACCATATGTGTCTTCCAATAGTCGTAATTAGTGCCATATAATGAAGGAAAATTGCGATCTAAACGCAGCGGAAAACAAAATTTTTCCTTTAGTGATCCTTACGAATGAGCATGGTCAGTGATAGAATCGTTACCTCTTTGTGGCGATTCAGATCTTTGATGCAGCGATCACAAGCGTTGATGAAGTGCAACGCCTCTACTCAGTCCACACGAACAGCTTCCGGTCACAGTGCTAGCTGCTTACGAACGGAATTATTTGAGTGAGAAAAGAGAATCAAAAACGAAATTGCATCAAGTGAAAGCTTCATCACAAGGGTTCCTTTTATAGACTCTCTTGTGGGCTGCGGGCTAAAACCCAATTCACATGATCCATAATAATATTATATATTATTATAATAACTATTATTATAATAAATATATTTATTTTATTATTATTTTATAACCATTATAAAATAACAATAATTATTATTATATTATCCGAATTTTTATTTTTCCCTTAAGTGCACCGTACCTTACGGTGTTCCTTTTTGATTTCTCTATCTCTCATCAAACTGTCCTTATGTGTGTGACCCTGTAGGATTTCGTAACGTTGGTAATTATATTAAATTATATATTTAACATAATAAACAGTAAGCGGTATCTAGCAACACATCACTGCTACCCAAGTCACGAAAATGTCATGTGATCTGACAAAACCTTTTTTGTGATAATATATGTTTGTACAATTACCCTTTTGCCCCTATGTCTATATTGAACACAAGGCATACACTGTGTCATCCTTGTCCAGTTCAATATTGGGCCCTTAGACTTTTCTCCTGTTATGCAGGATTGGCAAATTCCATCTAGGACACTCATGTCCCTCAGCATGCTTCGTGGAGTGCCCATCAACTGTCTTTATGATCATCCAGTTACGGATAATGTTTGATCAGCAATAAAGCACCCGACTCTACATCTAGGGTCCATAGTGGTTTCAGGTCGAAGGGTGGTAATACACCATTATCACCATGAGAATAACTTATGACACTTTGCATAACATACTATGTAGTATTCTCATAGCGGGTCAATCCGGTATAAATATTACTCCTAATATTTATACCTATGTCAAGACTTGATAACTCTTTATCCATGATCCATGAGATGTGATCATCAGCCTATCTTCATAATAGTCTCAATGCTTTTAATGTTATCCCACTTTGCAATAAAGCTTGACTACGGATATTTTAAGAATAATGTCTTTATGTTTAATGGGATCTCATGATTAAGTCACACTTAACATTTCATTAAACAGACTAACTATTCTAGGGACTTTATTATTCTGAAAGACAAACATAATAAAGAAATGCCTTTTATTATTAAACGAATAATCCGATACAAGTACCAAAAAAGTATTGGCCTCTAGGGCTTACACCAACATATAAGACTGGAGGCCTATTCACATTTCCTCCACCTTCCTTGTCCATATTACCCGAATACAAACTCTTTGGAGCTCACTAGCATGTAGATACCAGATGTCGAGACAGATGTCACAACACTGGGATCAAAACAGCTTGAACACATAAATAAAAATGCTGAGATTTAAATGATAGAAAAGTAAAAATAATACCAAAAATTATTAACCCAGTTAGATGCAACTCATATACATTTGAGGGCTACCAAGTCAGGAAGAAAATTCACTATGATAGTATTAGTTCAAAGATAAACTCTCCCGTTTACAACTTCTCACCTAATCACTATCTTGTGCAACTTCTACCTAGACACGCTATAGATATGAGATCCCCCTCTCACTTCCTAATTAGTCACAATCCCAGTGACAGTTCAACAATTACATAAAATAGAAGTAGCACACTTTCAAGACAATACTTAGTTTTGCTTAAAAGCTTCAACCAAGAACAATACACTCTTGCTTAAAAGCTTTAGAATGGATAATTAACAATGAATAATCGGTCAACCTCAATGCATCAGAAGATACATGGGTGACATACAATTAACACACACTAAACCATAAAGACCAACCAAAATACAACTAATCCTTATTCCCCAAATTCTTCATGTGTTGTTCTCTTCTCAATAGGGTTAGGTCATCACTTTAAATAGCCTCCAGACCCAATGGACTTGGGCTTTTCTTGAAGCACACAAATAACAACAATCAGTTTTAACTTACTGCAAATCATCTTGCACAATAATTGAAATAAAATACAAACTTTCCTAAAAAGGATCAATGGACCTTTTTATGAAAACTAACAAAATCTGTCATAACAGAAATTTCCACAATATAATCCCATGAATAAAGCACATGTGTGAATCTGAACACACTTAAAAATCACACTAAAAATACCAAAATAGTCATGCCCTAACTTTCTGATATAACATGCCCTGGAACATGTCACAACATTATGCAAAATATGATGTTTGACTGTCATGGCAGAACATATGGTTTAACATCTTGCTAACAACATGTTTGTTTTGCCAAAATGTAGCTAATCCAAAAATCACAGAACTTACAAAACAAAACCGACAACTGCCAACCAAAACTAGGGAGGAAAGTGTTTGAAATGTCTTGTCTTAAAAATGTACTTTCCCTTGCTAGTTTATGTTATTGTTTCTTTTTTTTTTGCGACTAGCGATTAGAATTGATGGTCATGAACAACTAGATTTTCATCCTCCACATCTGCTTCATTTTCAGCCATATTAATCCAAAATTTTATGAAAAAATCAATATCTTGAAGGACCACAACACAGAAAACTTGAACTACAATATATGGTTGTTAATGTTACTGCATTACATCTACAAACTTTGAATCTAGTTAACTTAGAGTATCTTCATTTGTGATGTTTTATATGTTATTATGCTTCTCATTAAAATGTTAAGTTGGAACCATCATGTTCTGAGACATATTTCCATTAAGTTAAGTTTGAATAACCTCATTTGAATCTTCAGAGTTGACATTTCCATCGTATTTTGTTGAAGTGCCAATGAAGAGATAAATGTGTCTTTTGATGGCGATACAAGTATGTGGACTAAAGAGCTTCCTTTTGAGGGGGAGCATAGTGGATGGACTCACACTCTAGGGGAGATTATTGGTAAATAAGTGTGAGTTCTATTGAGAAACAAGTGTGAGTTATAAGTTCTATATTGCTTAGAAAAGTGGAGGTTGAGCACTTTATAAGTGAGAGAACTCATACACCTACCACATTAAAGATTTAGGTGAATATGTGGTATGTTTCTCACTTTTTTGGGCGAGTCTTTGACCTTTAGGTGAGTGTTTGAGCCAATGTGTATACTTCTCCCTCGTGATGATCTATCAATGGTATTAGAGCTGATGGTTTGAGTAATGGATCAGCTCTTTGTGTCAAAAGTCACCCTGACATAGTGGTCAGGTGGCGTGTTCTGTTGAAGTGTCTATGATGAGATATTTGTGTCTTTCAGCGGAGGTACAAACATGTGGATGGAAGAGCTTCTGCTTGA